TATGTACGTTTCCTACATATGAGACGGGTCATATATAATAACTTTCGTTTGTTATTTTAAAAAAATATCTATATTCGAGATTGTCTATGTTTTGATGTATTTTTTATAACATTTTGTGCTTAACTTTATATACATTCCTACGTATCATTCGGGTCATATATAATAACTTTCGTTTGTTAGCTTAAAAAATGTAGTATATTTCGAGTTTGTCTATGTTTTCGACCTAATTTTGTTTCATGTTTTTTACGATATATAGATTCAAGTTCGTCTATATTTCAACGTAATTTTTTTTTGTTTCGTGCTTATTTTTATATACGTGTTTTTTTTCATTCATGTTTTTTTTACGTCGAAATGCAACTTTTATGACTATAATTACCAAAATTCAACTTACAAAATTTCGACGTAAAAAAACATGAATGAAAAAAAACACGTACATAAAAATAAGCACGAAACAAAAAAAATGACGTCGAAATATGACGAACTCGAATCTATATTGATACGTAAAAAACATGAAACAAAGTTAGGTCGAAACATAAACAAACTCGAATTACTACATTTTTTTAAGCTAACAAACGAAAGTTATTATATATGACCCGAATGATACGTAGGAATGTATATAAAATTAGCACAAAATGTATAAAAAATACATCAAAAACATAGACAATCTCGAATATAATATATTTTTTTAAAATTAACAAACAAAGTTATTATATAGACCGTCTCATACGTAGGAAACGTACATAAAGTTAAAAAAAAAACTACGTCTAAAAATAAGCTCGAATTTAAACCGACAATTTTATAAAAAAAACCATGTAACTTTAAAAAAAATAACGAAAGAAAATTCTAACTTATAGTCGAAACGTTGATCACCTTGAATTATACCGACAAATATATGAAAATAGACACGTAAAAATAGTTTTTTTAGGTTAGCGAACGAAAGTTATTAATAAAAAACAAATTATATATAATACGGGGTTAAACACGAAAATTTAGAAAAAGGGGTGAAAGTAAACATTTTTCAAAGTTTCAAAGTGAAGGGTTCAAAGTGATATTTTAAAAAGTAAATGGGTGGAAAAGTCACAAACTCATAAACATAAAATATAGAAAAAAAATACATAAATGGTCCCTATGGTTTACCCATAGTCACAAACCCAATCCCTGCTACTTGAAAAGACCAAAATACCCTTACACTAACGGATGAACAGTAACAGCGTCAGCAAAAAGGGCTATTGATGCAAGTTTTGGAAACCACAGGGACCATGTTCGTCAAAAAAAACTAATAGAGACTGACTTTGTGACTTTTGACAAACCAGAGGGACCATTTTTGTAATTTTGTCTTAAATCAAATACACTCTTTTAACGGCTTCAAAAGAATGAAAGATCATAACTTCATTCAGAATCAGTTTTAGCCTAATAAAAACATGAGTTATGCTATAAGTACCCCTTAACTATATTTATCCCTCCTCAAATCAATCAAATCAAAATTTTGACATGTGATTTGACATCATTTTTTTTTCTTTTTTGTCTTTTGTTGTTTTTTTCTTTTGTGTTTTTTTCCTATGTTGTTTTTTTTGTTGTTTTTAATTATTTTTTCATTTAAATTATTATTATTATCATTATTATTATTATTATTATTACTATTATATTTTAAGATTATTATTATTGTATAAATTTCGCAAAAAATTTTAAAATTCGGACGACATTATAAATTCGAACGACTATATAAAATCGGTTTTTAAATATTTTTTATATTTAATATTAATATTATTATTGTTATTCTTATTATACAATTCGAACAATATTTTAGCAATCAGTCATTTATAAATTCGAACCGACTATATAAAATCGGACACAATTTTGTTTCGATTTTATATAGCCGTTCGAATTTATAATGTCCGATTTATAAAGTTTGTTCGAATTTATAATAATAATAACAATAATAATATTAATATGAAAATATAAAAAATATTTAAAAACCGATTTTCTATAGCCGTTCGAATTTATAATGTCTCCCGAATGTTAAAATTTTGTGCGAAACTTTTAACCCACAAAAATCATAATAACTAATATTAAATAATACTAATAATAAATACTAATAATAATAATAATACTAATAAATGAAAAAAAAATTAAAAACAACAAAAAAACAAAATAGGAAAAAAAAAACAACAAAAGACAAAAAATCAAATCATGGGGGTGGGATTGGAAAATGAAGGGGTACTTATAGAAAACCCCTTAAAACATATGATTATAATAGCTTGATCGAATCCATTAACCTACCGTGGTATATCTTTTCATTAGAGATTATTTTCACTCATATGATATCTATCACCATTTATAAGTATAAATACATATATTATCAAGGTTCTAAATAGCGTAAGGCGTGACTTGGCGGCAATATCAAGCCTCAAGCTTTTCCGAGCCTTGGCGAGCCACGTCGTTTGTAAGGCGTGACTTAAGTCGGCAATTTTGTATATAATTCATTATTTATCTTTATACACATATATGAGTCAAAGCGGCGTTTTGGTAAAACTTGGCGACACATACAAGCCTTGGAGCCATGGCGCGCCATGGCGGAGCCATGACGAGCTTTTTAGAACCTTGTATATTATGCATGAATGTGTACGATTTTGCAAGGATAAAATGGTGATCGCAGTGCTCTTCCCGAATTGAATAACTAACAGACAACCAATAGATCTATAAATTAATATCTTACAAAATTTATTTTCGTGATCTGAACACTTTGAAATTATCTCCTCATGACTATATGTAAAGAGTTTAGGTCAAGGTTATCCGCCGTTTCATTCTGGTATAACTTTATAATGGTAGACCCAAAACAAAAGGGATAATGACTTAACAGGTTAACATATTATTCGATTTGTAAACATTTGGTCACTGAGTTTTTTTTTCGTCCACATTTACCCCTTAAACTTGTTAAATTGTACACATTCAGTCCTTATGACCTGTTACTCCAGGTTAGCCGGGAAAAATGACCTGATAGGGTAATATATTTTTCATTTTGTACACATTTAGTCCTTAATAATTTTGTACATATTTAGTCCTTAACATTTTTTTTTTGTTTCAAAATAAGTCCTTTTTTTGTACTCATTCAGTACTTATGAATTATTTTTTTAGGTTTTTTTCACGACATCTTACGTGAGACAATCATTGATGAGGTGTTTGGGGTTGTTGATGCTTATGTCCAATGCAATCTCGACTGCTTGGTTGCGTAAGTCTTGTGGTTTGGCTTAGGTCTTGTATTTTGAACATCATAACTTCTTCATACGATATCAGATTTTAAGGATCTTTATCCACGTGTTCATTTTTTGAGTCTACTACAATTTTCATTAAGATTACTCTCATTAAAATATAATATATTTTTACTAACGATTTTATAAAAAAAAACATACATACATGCATTCATAAAAAAACGTATGGACAGGGGAAGACACAGTAATACATAGTAGGTGTTGCCGAGATGAAATAAGTGTTGCCGATACATGGAAAATAGGTATAAACATAAAAAATAAATCGAAAAATTTTCCACTGCGAACAGAAAAAACAGGTGTTGTCGGTGCAACACCGGGACCATACTAAATCTGCCACCGCGTATGGATATAAAAATCGTAAGTAAAAATATATTATTTTTTAATGGATAATCTAAATGAAAGTTGTAGTAGACTAAAATACGAACGTACGGATATAAAGATCGTTAAAATCCGAGATCATATGAAGAAGTTATGACGTTCAGAACACATGACCTAAGCAACCAAGTAGTCGAGATCGTGATGGATATAAGCATCAAAAACCTCATACACCTCATTAATGAATGTCCCACGTAAGATTTCGTGAGAAAAAACTAAAAAATCTTTCATAAGTACTGAATGAGTATAAAAAAAGGACTTATTTTGCAAAAAAAAAAAGGACTAAATGTGTACAAAGTGAGAAATATATTACCTTATTAAGTCATTTTTACCGGGAAACCTGGAGTAGCCGGTCATAAGGACTGAATGTATACAGTTTAACAAGTTGAAGGGGTAAATGCGGACGAAAAAAAAACTCAGTAACAAAATGTGTACAAATCAAAAAATATATTATCCTTTTAAATCATTATCCCAAAACAAAATGTCAAGGGTACCACACTCGGAAACTGCACTACACGGAAAAAAAAATTAAAATTTTTTCAACTGCACCTAAAATTTTGAAGGCCAGCATGGGCTACCATGTGCTCCCACTAAGGTCCACCATTGACTTTATACCAATCTATCAATCATCATAGCTTTCAACTGCTCCCATGCTTTTTTTTTTCCTAGCTCCTCGCTAACTTGGTGTTCGGTAATAAAAATCTTTCTTCTTGCAAGCAAAAAAAAAGGAAGTATGATCGGTTTCTAAATGGCGTGTTAGGCTTTACTTTTCTGTTTTGATGTTAATATTAAACAATATGAATTCACTTGACCATGCAAACTAATAAATAAATATAAATAGTCAATCAACCAAGTGAAAAAAAAAATCGAAATAACCTCTTAGAGGGTGTTTGGATAAATAAGTTTTTAGCTTATTAGCTTATTGTTTATTTGTTTATTGTGGTAAGAATACGCAGTTTTTTAAAAAGTGTTTGGATTACCTTATTGCGGTAGGAATAAACAATAAGCAATAAGCATTTTTAAGTGTTTGGCAAACAAAACAGCTTATATGAGTAAAATAACCAAAATGGGGTTTCCTCTTATATTTTAGCATAATTTTCTTATTCAAACAAAACATTTTTGTTTTTTTTTTAAATAATAATAATACTTTTTTTCTTCATAATAACTAAAAAAACATTTACCACATTATTTTTATACCTATTTTTACCTAAAAAACATTTCTTTTTCTTATTTATATAAACCATAAAATTTCATTCCAAATCCATATTATCCAACATATTATCCAAAATATCCAACATACCAACCAAAATAGTTTCATGCTACTACATTAAACCATAAAAATCGTTTCAAAACAAATCATACGCTGTTACGTGCACGGGTGTTTGACTTTGAGAATATTTGTCCCGTAATCATATCGCGTACTGCACTCATATACATATCGTCACTTCTGCGTTGTGTACTTGATACTTCGTCATGTGGCTCAATACCATCATCGGGCCCTTCATCATTGCGCGGAATATAAGATTCTTCTTGCGCTATTTGAAATGCTGCATCACAACTACCGCTCATTCTAATGTAATTGTGAATTGCCATTGAAGCTAGCACAATTTTTACTTGGGTCTCGAAGTTGAAATTTACATGCATATCTCTTAGTAACACCCATCGAGCCTTCCAAACTCCAAAAGTTCGTTCAATTACATTGCGAAGTGACGAATGATAGTAGTTAAATTTTTCTTTGAAGCCATTTGGTTCCCGCGAGGCACGAGTCTGTCCACCTCGAAAATCAGGAATATGATAACGGATGTTTGAACCTTTGTAGGGAGCAAGATAACCTTTTGTATTAGGATATCCGGCGTCTACAAGGTAAAACTTACCTATAGAAGTAAAAAAAAAAGATTGTTATTCATTTATATGGTTTGAAAATATAACACTTCTATTAATAAGTAATGATACTAACCATCAGCTGGAAGTGGAAACTTAACTTCACGTCTCCTTCGCGCTTCATTGAAAATTCTTGTGTCATGTGCAGTCCCCTCCCATCCAGCCCACGCAAAGGTAAAGCACATGTTGAAATCACATGCTGCCATAATATTTTGAGTAACACAATTCTTTCGTCCAATGTATTTGATTTGGTCATGTTGCGGAACAGAGGCCTTCATGTGTGTTCCATCGATGGCACCAATACAATCCTACAAATTCAAAAAATATAATAAGTTACCAATTAGTTTTACTATTATACAAATTCACCAAATAATATAACTTTGCAACAAATAAGTACCTTGAAGTATGGATAATACCGAGGGTTATTTAAAATATATTCTGGTATAGTTTCGTTGTAGTTAGCATTGGGTTTGATGATGTCCTTACTTAGGTTAACCACATCATCCAAGACTTTATGAAAATGTCTATGGATTGTTTCCCCAACATCTATAGTATCCCGAAATAAAGCCTCATAATATGTCTGATATACATCCAAATTCTTATCCTTAAACTTAGCATACTCTTTATCTTCTTATATGTACAAAATGAGAATGTCACGAAAAACACAATACAAATAATATATTGTTAGATACACTTTTTAATTATTACCTTTATTTTCTCATCCCACCATTCCTTTGATGCTGAGATTATATTTTTCATGGGATCAGTTGAAATTCCCGTTTCTAGTCTTGTTAAACGGTTATAATATTTGAACTCTTTCCGCATAATGTCCCATTTGTTTTTCATTTGATTTCTGTCCAATTCTTTACCCGTTCGTTCCAAAAGTCTCTTACATATATTTTGGCACGCGGTCAGTTTGAAATAAGTAGTCGGTCTATTCCCGTTTTTTAGCTCCGTCATACATTCCTCAAGAAATATCTTGAATGTATGGGGATCCCAATGAAACCTATTTGTAACTTTCATTTTGGGTGTATTAATATCGACATCATGAACATTGACAGGGTCCATTACCTATATTGCATCATCATAAGGAATGAAGAAAAATCTAAAATTCAAGCTAATGGTGAATCAAAACAGCAAGAAAAAAATAACCACTAGTTAATGAAGAAAATTCTTAAATACAAACAAGAATCACTACAATCAATAGAAACAAATAACCACAACAATAAAGAAGTAAAAATAGAAGCATGTCAGGGAAATTTATGATCAAACATCACAGGTGCAATTCACAGTGCAGTAGGAGCAAAAAAAAAAAAACTACATCATACAAGAACAATCAGGCGAGAAAAGGGGCAATAACCACAAGCTAATAACAAGAACAATCAAAGAATGAAGAAAAAAGGAACATTCAAGAATGAAAGTGGAAATCGACTCTTGTTTCTGCATGATCAAACACAAAAAAAAAAAAAAAAGAAACGCATACAGATTGCGTTAACAGGTGAGAAAAAAAATAGCCAGCCGATTCCTTACCTGATCGTCGATGGTCGATGGCTGGTATCTTGAAGATCGGCGATGGCAGCAGGGAGAAGGAATAGCGATCGGCAGCAATTGATCGACCAAAAGGGTTATGGGTTTATGTATCGTTGTTTTGAAGGGTAATTACGTAATTTTCGAAATCATTAAAATTAAGCAATAAGCAATAAGCATTACCCCCTTGCTTATTGAAATCAGCTTATTTAGCTTATTCCTACCACAATAAGCTGATTTTTTAAGCTACCTATCCAAACACTTCAACTCAGCTTATTGTGGTGAGAATAAACAATAAGCAATAAACAGACATTTTTTTTCCTATCCAAACACCCTCTTAGTATGACCATCAGACTATTTTGATAATGATTTTTATGTGTTAGGTATAATATATTATGCACCATAACATTTTCATAATGACATATTAGGTTTTTTATGTGTTAGGTATAATATATTATGCACCATAACATTTTCATAATGGCATATTAGGTCTCGGGGATTAATTATGTGTACAATATATGATTGGAGTTGCCACGTGTCCATAACTTGATGAACCAATTAATTATGTGTGGTTCTAAGTAATTGATCAATTAAACACGCATAGAGGAGGACATACATGAGGCATTAACGGTTCTTCCCTTTCATATTCTAAATATTCTCTGTCTGCGTAATTTCATACATTAAAATCGATCATTTTTTTAACAGCATATATAACCTACTTCTTAATTCACTTATGTCACAGACGGTACTTGAATCCTCAACCTCAATGAAAGAGGATAACACTCGATACGCTAGGCTGGAAGTCCTTTGGTATCAAAATCCATCACTAAAACACCATTATATGGAAACTGAAATGATCATAATGTGGCATCATCATCTTCAACATCATTGAAGTTATCATTCCCTTCAAGTATTTGTTCTTCAACTGATTTAAGGTTCTTCATGTTTATGCACAAAATTGAACTTAAATTAAGCCTTAATATCAACACTTTCATCAACCATGACAGTATGTATATGATTCAACTATCTTTAACATAGATAACATAGCCATCTGTGTTGGATACCAATAACAGATGCAATCTAGTCATCCTCGATACCGACATGCAGGAGAGCTCAACAACTAATAGTTTAGAAGTCATGGATTAACGTTTTCATATCAACCAAAAACTTATAGAATGCAGACAGTACTACACTAGAATTAAGAGGGTGTTTGGATAAGCTTAAAAAGGAGTTTTTAAACTTATAACCGGTTCCACACCGGTATAAGTTAAAATGAGTGTTTGGATAGACTGTTTTTTTTAAAACAACTCATAGCGGTGTGAAACCAAAGATAAGTCAGATAAGTTACTAACCCCTAACTTATCAAAACTCCTTATAACTTATAGATGTCCAACATCTCTAAGAAGCCTTTTTTTTTTTGTCATTTTGCAAAACACTAAAAATGAATTATCAATTTATAACGTTTTGACACCGGATAAACTAATCCAAACACTTTTTTAAAAGTTCCGTTTTGATCACTATAAGCTAATAAGCTACAGGTTAAAAAGTTAAAAACGTTTGTTAGTTTGTTAATAAGTATAGCGAAACACACACCCTCTAGTTATTGTTTCGGTCCAAGTTGACTCTTTTTATGCATTGGATTTGATCGTCTCTATATTATTATCAAGCAGCAACGTGGACACATTTGCAGCCATTTGATGACAACTTGCTAGTTGAGTATCAGAAGAGATAATGTATAAAAGCCACATCATTTATTGCAAACATCATTTATTTACGTATATACAAAAACTAAATTAGATCATGCTAGCTAGTTTTGAGCCGTTAGATCTATTTTGAACAGTGGCAATTATGAATCAGTTTGACCATGTTCACGTTGTTGGCTGTAACAGAAGTAGATGAAGGGATAAAATGATTAAAATCACATTTTTTAAATAATTATCATCATACAACCGACCTAGCTTGTTTTATTTTTTAATATCAAAATACAAAAAATAATGTTAGATGACTTAGATCGATGGATTTTATCTGCATGTATCATATTCATGTGAACGGATGGAAATAGTGTAATTGATGAGAGCATGGGCATGGGCATGGATATGGAGACGTGAGCTTTCCATTTTCTACGAGATTTTCTCTTCCCCCATAAAATATTCTTAAAATAATAAGAACAATATAATTAAGCTTTAATAAGTTAGACATCATGCATCATAGCTTGTACGCTTACTTGATGTACAAATTTAAATCCATACAAAACGATAGGGAAGAACTTCCAACTCAATTCTATTTTATATATAATTAGATGATATATAAAACAATGTTGAAGGGTCCACCTTCAATCCACCCTTAGAAGTTTATTCATATTTTAGTCGATCATTCATTTTAACCTATTACGCCATTAAAGCAAACCCCCACCTTCTCTCTACATTATATCAAAATTCAGAATCTGAGGACTTTGCATGCAACCAGAGTATGGAACCAACTTTGCCTGTTCTCCCAAGAATCGATCGTCTCGATCGCCTGGTAATCTATTCATTTCTTTTGATTCATATTCTGTTTATTGAACTTGGTTTTACAAACCCAACTCTTTTCTCAGTTACAAATATTAGAGGAAAAACATAGCAAATCAACAAGATTTGGATCTACTACAACCAACAATGGCAGTCATGATGATGATGACGATGATGATGATTATGATCATGAAGACAACCATAAAGAGAAGTTTGAGGACCAGACGAATTGCAAAACATTATTGTCTGCCCTTGACGATGTTCATCACAAAGGCACCCTTATTGATCGACTTTCCATGCTCGAGAATCGTGTACTAAAGGTTTTACCTCACTTGGATTTGACCATTTATGTATAGGAATTCATAGTGTTGTAATGATTTGTGCTACATTTGATTTTGTTTGTTTGTTTTGAAAATGGTCTGATTCAAGAATTTGATGTAACCGTTCATTTTGCAGTTGATTTTAGATATGGAAGAGAGGAGTACATCAAGATCGAGCTCGTCGACTGCTTATGCCACAAGGGTAGAGCTTCTTTCATATATGAGCAATTTTTCTTCCATTTCCTTTTTAGCTATTTTATTATTATATATATTTGAATTGTTAGATATAAGATACAACTCATGTAATTATACCATTAGTAAATGTAACCGAGCTAAAATTACCATCTCCAATTTTATCTTTTTTTATATACTTATATTTACATTATGACATTATTTTACAGGAAGAAAATGAGTTCCCAGTTGATAATTGTGCTAAAAAAACAATCGGCGAAGGAAAGAGGAAGGTAAACTTAAAATGGATGAGGTGGTTATCTGTGAGATGCTAGTTTCCGTTCTCCCAGTTTATGCGTTTATCACTTCATTAGAAACATTGTGATATGTTTAACTAATCAATAGAAGAACACACAATTACTTATATAGTTAATAATTACATTTGTGTAATATATAAAACAATGTTAAGTTAATTAGCCATCATTAGTTAAAACAATGTCTATGTAGAGTTTTCTTTTTTAAAAATAAGAACATATTATCTTTTGATGTATTACACGTTCTGGGTACTATTTCAACATGATAACATCTAATTTATCGAAGATATCATGCAAGTTATCAACTTGATTTTTTACCTAGTATATACCACAATCACCAAGATTCCAACCAAGCAAAAATCAAGCATAAGAATGATATGCACTAAAATGATATCTCAAATACCAATTAATATACAATCTACTAGACTATAGTTCTGTGTTACACAATCTATTTTTTATTTCTAATATCACAATTTGAGAGAGTATGGGGTTGGGCTTGAAGTGAAAATATCTCAGATCAAATAAATATGATATTGTTCATTTATTTTTCATCGGAACGCCAAATCTAATCTACTCTTAAACTACTCATTATATCATCTATGTTCCTGATAAGACTGTTTCCTGCAACCTCAATAAATAAAGACAACATCTAATACCGTTGAGCTAGAAGCCATTTAATATTTATTTCACATCCTAATATCATATTTATACTTCTTTGGCAAAATGATATCCTCCCATTTGAATCTCAAAAGTTGATACAACAAATTAATACATCTTGTCTTCTCATCATTAGCAATTATTTTACAATAAAAATCAAAATTTATCTTCTAAAGCGACTTTTTTACATCAATTACTTAAATTTAGATTAGCACAATTATTACATGAGGTGTCTTGGAAGTGTTGTAACATTTTTTTTTGGAAAAACTAGTTATACTACAACAAAGGAAAAGGCACCAACAAGTTGCACTACTAGAAATATGAGAATATATTACATATCAATTAGAACT